GTGTACCAAGTCAGGTGAGACAGGGCTTAGAGCAACGTGGCAAGTGGGAGGGGTCTCTGCCCACAGCAGGGAGGTAGAACAAGACCAGTTTTTAGGGTCCCTTCCAACTCAAACCATTCTGGGATTCTATGAAGACACACAGAGTGTCTGCACACCAGCAAAACTAACAGTGAAAGGGAGAAAGTAAAGCAAGTCCTACATTCCTGACAGAGGCTTGAAATCCAGTTGTTAGCCAATACTGGAACATGGTTCCATTCCAGGCAGTAAAAGAGCAAGAAAACTAATATCTGTTTTGTAAAAAAATCGCTAATAGTTCCTGTGCAACAAAGAAGAAGTTTCACCAAACTATTCAATACTTTACATGGATGTCCTTGGCACTAAGAAGAGCTTTTGTCTTTTCATCTAGAACACTCCACCCAGTGCCCCACCCCGGGACACACAGTGCCACACCTGTCGTCACTGGCTGCCTGCCCCGACACGCGTGGTGCTGGCACACGCACTGCTCACACGGGGGGAGCACTGGCCTGAGCCAGCACTGGGGAATTGATTCTGGTTCTGAGCAGGGCAGCTCAGCAAGGAATCGATCCAAACACAATTGCAGCTCTCCAGTCAACCCTGGGCTTTTATTACCCTGGGCAATGCAGCCACACCTGACGACAGTCTAAAGAAAAGATTCTGCTGTTCAAATGTCAACATGATGTATCATGATATTCTCTTCCTTAGGATATTATGGGCAGTAATGTGCCGAGAGAGGATGAATATCTGTGCAGAAACAGGTCAGACAAGGCCTGAACGTACAGAAGAAGTGCTCATAAAGATGTAGCTTAGTGGCAACATAGTTTTGGAGGAAAACTATAATTTATGCAAACTCACCCAAATGAAACGGTTACTGATGCCCTTGCTAATTTTCAGTGAATGCCAAACAAAAATGTATTTCTTTTACTTCTTTCACTTTGTGCCTCTCTCCAAGTTGGAGATGCTGACAGAACTGCCAGCCACTATAAGCTGCAATCAGGGATATGAGCTCAGTGGAAAGGGCTCTTGTTTGATGGAGATGCAGAATGTGGTCCTATCCCAGCGCAATGCCAACAGCAGGGAGGGTTTTGTCCAAGCGCTGGCACGAGGAGGCCCAGCTAAGAACCAGCATGGCATGAGGGAGTTACTAAGGCTTGCATGAGAATTTACAACCTTGTTTCCCATGGCATTTGCTGGCTCTTAAACACCCAATACATGCTCTTAATAAGCCACTTTTCATGACAAAGTAAATATGTGCTTAGACTGTACCTTGCGCTTGATGTTTTCCAGTAAATGCGCCTTCCCTTGTTTGAAGAAAGGGTGCTGGAATTCAATGACTGAGCTCTTCTCTGCTGTAATGATACCATTCTCCAGAGCCATCACCTTCCTGAAACCATCTGTGGAGAGGAATCAACAAAGGTATTTCTCCCAGTGCAAATCTGACTGTTACAACATACACCTAAAGAAAACTCCAAGGCTACCAAAATATCCACTGGGAGCAGAAACTGTGAAAAACAGCCAAAACACCTTTTGCTGGTGCTCAGTGATTTCACTGCTTTGATCTTCACAGCCAGAGAACATATCCACAGTATCATGGAATGCCCTGGCATGCTGCACACACAGCTGTGCGGCAGAGGTCACCAGCTGTCCATGGGCAAGACAGTCACATCCAAACCATCGCAGCAGTCAGTTAGAAATGAGATATGTTATGACATCTTACATAGAATCTTGTTGCAGTGCAAGCAGAGGAATGGTACACCTTCCCCTATCATCCTCGACAACTACGTATTAAAGCAAACGCTGTCCTGCACCACCATGGTCTGTAGAATAAAGCAAGCCAGAGAAGTCAGTTCCCTGCCCGTGCAAATACCTACAGCAAAGCACCTTCTCCAACTATGGAGAACTGTCTGCATGAAGTGAGACATTGCCAGCTCTATCTCCATCACTGCTTAAGCACCACAGGGGAGAGGCAGGACAGAGCTGAGAAACCAATCCATCTCTCTCCTCATTTAAGTTTTTAACACAGTTAATGCATTCCAGCTTCACTGTTCCCCAACAGTGTTAGCGTTACAGAGCCAGGATAGGTCCACCAGGAAAAGGAGGCTGCCACTGCATTGCATGTCTTCATAGGATTATTTGCATTTTCACATTTACCCTGGCTAAAAAGGCAGTGACAATTGTCTCTTTGGATTACCCTTTGTCATTCAAGTAATGGGGTCACAGAAACAGCAGCACATGACACAAAGAGCTGCATCTACCCTCTGTCCAAAGACTAAACAGGTGTGCTTCCTCTCACATCTGACAAAATCTATACAGGCATCAGCTAGAGAGCCCAGGCAAACCTACTGGGCAAGGACAGAGAGCTCCTCCCTCTCACTCCCAATGAAATTCTAACTAAGGCAGCATCTCCTGTGTAGTTTGCCCCTCCACTGGGCCCAGAAGCTTCTGCAGCTATTCCTGCTGGGTGATGCAGTCCCCGATTCACCCTCTCACAGCATCCCTTTGCCTGACTATGCTGTACACATGCTATACAGCACTGCCACGTGATGCTCACAAGCACAGAAAACATAACGAGAAACATAGTGCAGCTCAGCCCATCAGCAGGACTGATTTGGTTCAAACACAGCAATGCAAGCAAGAGCAGTGGCAGCCCCAAATCCAGGCAATTTTTTTTCACATTCTAGGTGTATGGATGTACACACAGCCTTTGCTCGCCTGGGTACACATACGTTTGCTGCTACATTAACAGCTTCTGGAGCCCAGGGAACCCCACCCAAGCTTTAGGCACCAGCACATATTCTTACAGCTGTTGCTCAAAAGGACTCAGAGCTGAAACACAAAAACCAGAGACTAAGCCAAGCTCTACCATCAGTGTTTTCTTTTGCAAAGCAAACTCAAGGCCAGAACCCAGGCTTTCAGGGATGAGACTTGCCAAGTCCACTCGCTTGTTTAAAGAAATCCAAAACGAAGCCAAGGAGCAGTGAACGTGGCAGAGAGAATATGTAGCAACAACTGATGCTTACACATGTTGAGCTGCCGTATGAAGCTGGAAATATTGTTGTGTTTGAAGTACTTGGGGAGCAGTTCCTTGGCAAACCTCTGTTCATCCAGAATGCAGAAATTCTCACCATTCTAGGAAATAAACAGGAGTAAAAGTTAATGAACAAGCACAGCTTTCCTAAGGTGTTACTTTTAAGGGAAGACCATAAAGCAGCAGACAGTTCTGACAGCAGAGAAGAGCAAAACACTTTGCCAAGGGAACTGCCTGTGGGGATACTTCCGAGTACTTGGAATGGGACTAAAAAGTTTTAAAACAAAGACACAGTTACATGGAACACTTCTATTGAATAGGAGATTTTCTTAAAGCCCTGATGCTCTGATCTTAATCCAAAGCAAAATTGTTCTAAAAACCTGCTCTCCTTGTCTACAGGAAACATAAGTTCAAACACAATGGAGTTCACACCACTAGAGAGATTTCATCTCCCTTCATCAGTCTGACCAGCTCCTGACAAGATTCTTCCATTATACGTGCTTCGTCATCACTAAAAATAACGAAGCAACGTTGCCGAGTTACCGAAGTTCAGACAACACAACCCAGCGGTGACCAGAGGTAAGTGTGACACCAGCAGTTCCAGATTTATCATATGCTCAAGATAAAACTTCCTGGAAGCGGCCAGAGTTTTTTTGCATCACTTTTTATGCTATTCACAAAGAGAACAAAAACATTGCGTTTCTTTTTATCTTTTCCTTTGTAGAGGACAAGTGGCTAAAAACAGTGGAGAAAATCCCTCGAACTTAAAAATTACAGGGGACAAAAATAAACACGGTGCCTGTCTGGGGTATGTGGTCTATGTGTCCGTGCCCTATGCCCGCGAGGCGCATCTGCCTCCGCTCCGCATGGAAAATGAACAGTTAATGTGTCCTTTCCCCACCCTATGCCGGTGACCTGGAATTCGGGACCGGGGTGTGCGGGCAGCGCGGCGTCCCGGGCACAGCCCCGGGGCTGATCCACCGGGCTCGGGGCGCTCCGGGCAGCCTGGGACCCTCCTTCTCCTCCTCCCCTGCCGCCGCCCGGCCCGCAGGGCCCCGCAGCCCCCACCACCCCGAGCCCTCCGCGCGGGCCTCCCCGGGCCGGGCCCGCGCTGCTGCCTCACCCTGCTCCAGCAGATGACGTCGTCGCTGTCCGCGTCCTCCAGCAGCGCCCAGAGCTTGGCGAGGAAGCCGGGGACGGGCGCGGGGACGGGCGCGGGGCCGGGCGCGGCGGGGCCGCGGGGCAGCGCGGGCGCCTCCCGCATCCTGGGGCCGGGCCGGGCCGGGCCGGGCCGGGTCGGGTCGGACCGGGCCGGGCCGCGCGGGGCCGCCGCGCGCACCGCGGGGCGGGGCTAGCGCGCGAGACGGCCGCTCATTGGCAGAAACCACCCAGCCCCGCCCCGCGGCCGCGAGCGTGTCTCTTGTTGTGCTCTCGGGGGAGCGCGCGGCCGCGTGACGTCACCGCGCGCCCTTAAAGGGGCCCTTCAGCCCCCCCCCCCCCCCCCCCCCCCCCCCCCCCCCCCCCCCCCCCCCCCCCCCCCCCCCCCCCCCCCCCCCCCCCCCCCCCCTCCCCCCGGCCCGGCACCGCCCGCCGCCCGGCCGGGGCTCTCCGGGCTTCCTCGGGGCTCCCCGGCCCGGCACCGCCCGCCGCCCGGCCGGGGCTCTCCGGGCTTCCTCGGGGCTCCCCGGCCCGGCACCGCCCGCCGCCCGGCCGGGGCTCTCCGGGCTTCCTCGGGGCTCCCCGCACCGGTGGGCGAGCCAGCCCTGGGCGGGGCGGGCAGGTGCGGACACCGCCCCGCGCGTGCGGTCGCGGCGCTGCTGCAGGTGCGGGGCGGAGCAGCCGGGCCCTCCCGGCGGGCGGGACGGGGCGGGGGCGGGCGGCGCTGCGGGGCGGGGGCAGGCCGGGGTGGGCCGGGGTGGGGCGGGGCGGGCTCGGACGGTCCGCTGAAGCGGTGCCCCTTTGTCCCGCCCGGACTCGTTGTCGCCGGTGCTCCCGCGTCCCGCTCCGCAGCCCCGCCGAGCCGCGTCCCGCTCGCACGTAAGGGATGAGCCGCCCCGCACCTTCCCTCAGTGCTTTCCCCTCGCTCTCGCGATCCCTGTGCTGTTGGGGACCTGGCAAAGGGCACTCCTGGGGGAGTGGGGTGGGGGTGTTCTACTGTAAAATGCAAAGTTTTTTAGGGATGAATGTAATACAAAGTTTGGGCTGGTTTTGGTTTTGTTTCTTTTTTTTTTTTTTTTTTAAATTCCTTTCCTTAAGACATATATTATTATCAAAGAAAAATTAAATATTTTGAAAAGAATCTAAGGTTTTGGACCACCTTCACCTTGCACTAGTGGAGCAAATGGTGCTTAGTCACTGGGAGGGGAATGTGGGCACAGATTCGGTCTCACTTGTTGCATCTGCGTTCATTTGCCATACCCTAGAATTGCCTCAGAGGTGAGTGCAGTCTCGTGGTTAAGCTCTAGCCAGAGCCCAGGTGGAACTCTTGTAAAGGTTCAGTAGGGCTGTCTCAAAGACTTGCCCTTGCCTATTTTCAGTGCCAGAGCACTTAGAATGCCAGGATTTCTGGCTGTTTGATGGGTGCTGTGGTGCTGAGTGCAGCAGGGCCTCTGCCACACAGGAGGAGTGCGCTGGTGCAGGGAGTTTGTCTCCATTGCCAGTTTTCACAACCAGCTTCGAGAGCTGCTGTTCACCCTTGTAGTCTGAGCTCTGCCCTTTCCTGGGATGTGGTACTGCCTGCATTGAGGTGGGAGGACTCGAAGACCAGCCTGCCCTGGCTCCCTGGGCTCGGTGGCTCCAAGGCCTTGAGGAGGCCACCCTGTGTACTTTGCCCTGCATTGACACGGAGGCCACATCTTGGGCTGAGTCAGGAGCATCCCGCGCCCTTCCCTCGGGTGTGTGCCGGCAGAGTGTCAGGTTCTGGGCTGAGGGCTGGCAACGCTGCCTGTTTCTTTCTGTGCTGCCTTTTGGTCATCTGCCGTGTGAAACAGCACAGGTACAGCTTTCTGAAGCCCTTCCTTTGAATCCTCCTTACTAGCATAGAGTGGTTCAGGGCAAGTATTTCACCTCCCCATGATCAGGGATGGGTTCTGGGGCAGCAGTAGCAGGCAATAAGGATGGTGTGTGGCAGTGGGGCTGAGCCAGTGCTGCTCTAGTCCCCACACTGCCAGGGCCACGGGGAAGGGGCTGCTCTGTATCTGAGTTTCTCAGGTGGAGCCACTGGAGCAGAGCTATACCGTGTCGATGGATCAAAACCATCTCTGATTTAGAGATCCCTACAACCCCCTTCCAGGAAAGGTAGGAAAGAAGGTGTTTCCAAGTTGAGAGTTGCTTTGTCTCAACTTCTCAATTTAACGACTATTTGAAATCAGCAATACTTGATCATCATTAGCTTCTGAGAACAGCACAGCATGTTTGGAAATCCGAAATGAAGCTTTGAAAGCTGTCTAGTCCATTGCCATGTGCTGTGGCTGAATCCTGTCTGTTGGGTATCAGATGTGGTAAGAGGTTTCAAAGCTGCTGTGTGCCATGCTGGCTGAAAGCTCGCAGAATACCCAGCTTCCTGCAGATAAACCTGATACGTTCGTGTTGCTGTTACAAAGATGGGGAGAATAAGTAATGACAGTCTCTTTATGAAAAAGCCTTTGTTTGCCACGGTGTTACATCACCATTCCCTTCTGTATGAGATTAAGGAAAACTGAGTCCCTTGAGCTTTGTTGTTAGGTCATGTTTCTCATTCTCTTACTTTCTGTTTCTCTCTGCTGAACATGCTCTGAGTTGCTGTTACGTGTCTGAAGAGCTGGACATCTGGTTTAGGAACAGTTTGATTGCTTGTTACATCCAGCTTTGTTTACGGTATCACTGGATAAGACCTTTCTTAAACATTTCATCTGTTCTAACCCTTCCTTATCCTTTGGTGTAATTCTACTGTCCCATATTGCATCAGCTTCTCCTTCATACAGGTGGCTTTTTGAACCTGTCTTGACAGAACTGTATTTTAATGATTTCAGACAGTTTCCCCAACTTTTCCCCAACTCTCTTCAGGGTATTTCTGGTGCTTGATCACACCAAGTTTGATGTCAATTGGAAGTTTTATGAGTAAGCTACTTTGCGGTCATAATCATGGAGAAAATATTTAATGGAACAAAAAGCAAAAAGCCTTGTGCAGCCTGTTTGAGATATTCTCCTGGGTTACAGAGAACTGCTCTGTAAGAGCTATCTTTAATGAAGTTAAAATTTAAAATTACTTCCTAGTGACTAAACTGTACTTCCTCAGGTGACTTAGAATATATAGATCTTGGCGAGAGTTTAAAATATACAGATATATACTCAGGACTGTTTCCCTGAGCTCTGTATGTGGACCTGTAAGATGATTTGGAACATCAGCAACGGTGAAAAGAGGGTTACTCAAACTACTATGAGAGCAGCACATTTGGTACTGGGGGCTCGTTAGCAAGGCGTGATCTCTATCCACCTTGTGCATTAATTCTATTATGGAGTGATTTCCTTCTTGGATGTTTGAAAAACAATCCCAATAGGACTTCTTCATACTCTCTTAAAATGTCCAGTACCTTCAACCTAGGTGATCATATTCTGTTTCATTGTCTTTGTTTTTTCAAAACAGGTGAAACCTCCAAAAGCACTTTCCCTTCAGGCTGTGATGGGATTGGTCTGGTGGTTGCTGCTCTGTGTCCCCACGCTGTCACCCATATTTGCTGAGGGGGTCACACGAGTCTATTACCTGGGGATCCATGAGGTGGACTGGAACTATGCTCCAACAGGGAGGAATGTGCTTGCTAACCAGAGCATTGCTCATAACCGGTATGTCTGGCTCTAAGAGAATTTAATCTGGGACTGACTTCAAATTGTCATTTGATGTGTAATTTTTGCAAGTATTTTGAGCATCTGAGCAAGCAAGAGACGCACTGATAGATTCTGATCTCTATGAGCTTAATGTTTAACTAGTTTTATCATAGGAGCATAGAACCTGTGTCAGTGGGAAAAGGAATGGTCAGTTTGAAGCATCCAGAGCCCATACACTGGAGGGAAGTGCATGGAAAAAAAACAAACAACAAAACCCAGCAAAACAGAATACAGAACAGTTTGTTCTAAAATAGCCCAGATTGTGCAATGCTCTGCCCTGAGGTTTCATTTTGCTTAGCTCTAGCTGGTGATCAGCTTGTGTATCCTGAGGCAGGATGACTTTTTATCTTGAGGTAAATGACTTCAGAGTCAGCTTTTTGTTTCAATGGAATTTCGAGCCTTAGACTTAATGGAGCTTCCTGCATGAGATTTTAGGGACTGTTTGAAAAATATTTTTGTTTTTCTTGCAAAAGTAAATCTGGAAACTGCTATAATTATTTTGAGTCATTACAAAAACAGGTTTTGGTTTTTATTTTGGCGGGTGTTTGGTTTTTTTCTTTAGTGGGTGTTTTTGTGTATGTGGTTTGTTTTGTTGTTTAATAGCTTTCCAAAGACTTTTGAAGGCATTTGTGCTCTTTCCCCTGCCCTCATTTTCTGTGGTGAATAGCCAGTATTTCTTGACCTGCTCTCTGTCCTTTACCCCTCCATGATAACTAACACTCGGGTTTATCCTTCAGAACCAGCACAGCAGGAAGAGGGGGGGTTCACAGAAACATCAGGGTCTGTCAGTTTAGCTTGGAAAAGTCTCTGTTCTCTGGAGATGCTGTATAGGTGTAAATTAGTTCACAGGAAACCCCCCAAAATTCAGGGTTAATAAAGATGTTATCACTGATTCCTGAAGTGATAGTGATTGCAGTGGTTTTTGTTTGCTTTCTCTCATAACACATGAAGAGAAGGAAATGAAATTCAAGGCCACTGAACTTAAAAGGAATTTAAAAACTGTTCTGTCACTGCAAACAATTAGCTAATGGGACTTCTTTGTACAATGATTGCAGAAGTGAAATTGCTGGCAGTTAGAAAGGGATGTGATGGCAATATGAACAATAGAGGTAGTAAAATCTTCGAAAAAATTTTTTGTTGGGAAGAAATGGACTGTGGGGAAAGACTCAGATCTATAAAATGAATTGTGAATTAACTTAAACTCTTTGCAGATGATGGCTGCAGGGCTGACTTGGCAAAGGGCTGAGCTCTGGATTGCATAGCTGCAGCCCCGCCCTGTACCTTTTTGAATGAAAAGTGCAATGCTTAATATCTCAGTCTCAGCTGTTCATGCTCTGATTTGTGTGTTAGAGTTTGCCTCCCTTCCAGGGCTGTTCTACTGCTGTGGTGATTGATCCAAAGGGGGAAGTTGGGGGAGTAACCTCATCTCTCATTTAGGCTGGTTCCATTAGTACCTGGACCATGATTCATCTCTTATCTATTAAGAATTAGCCATAAAGAGCAAATATGCTCATGAGTTGAACTTTAGTACCTGTATGAGGTTTTAACTCTGGAAGCTGGTTGCATGCTGGGTACGTACCTGCCTGACTCATCTGTCATTCTGCAAGAAATTCAGAATCTGTTAAGTATAAAATAACATTTCAGACTATCAATTTTGGCCAGAGAGCTCAGGAAACTTCTCCTCCTGCCTTGGGATTTAGCTGCAAATGCCCCATAGAAATTGAAGTGCGTTTCTCAGAGCCCAGTGAAGGCTGAAGGAGGCATGAGAAAGGTCCTTCCTGCAACACCCACATGGGATTGTCAGGGAGCCACTATCCTTCCCATTCCTTGTTCATAGGGCACAGTTCAGGGGTGCACTTCGTGTCCCTTGATGAAGAGGTGAGGTTGAAGTTGTGGCCATGCAGGGGTGGCTTAGAGCATCTCAGGGTCCTCTAATGCCCGAGTTTTCAGCTGTACCTGGGAAGGTGGAGTGTCAGTGTCACTGTACTGCGCTATCAACCAGCTGTTGGATATAACGATGCCTTTCCCTTTGAATTTAACAGCCAGGCCGCAGCCTTCCTCCAGCCTGGGAAAGACAGGGTGGGAAGCACGTACAAGAAATCTGTTTATAAGCAATACATGGACTCCACGTACACCACTGAGATCCCCAAACCTGGCTGGCTGGGGTTTCTTGGGCCTGTCATCCGAGCAGAAGTGGGAGATACCATTAAAGTACACCTAAAAAATTTTGCTACTCGACCGTATACAATCCATCCTCATGGTGTTTTCTACGAAAAGGACTCTGAAGGTAAATGAGCCACTGCCATCACAGAGACAGATTTTACTCACTGGGAACTTAGGAGTATGTGTGAAGGAGAGCTGTCTGTAAAGCCCCAGCTGGAAAGCAACTGCACTTGGTTGGTGTTGGGTTAGCAGGGTCGGGGGACTGGGAGTAGTTTCCTGACTTGTGCATTACAGTACATGGCCCAGGTTTCTTGGTTTTGGAAGAACCTCCAAAACACTGATTAACCCTAGAAATTGTAAAGAGGCTGACTGTGGGGCCACAGTGCAGAATTGAAGGCAAAGTAGCACTAGGTAGAATGGAAATAATCTTGCTGATTTTGTGTGACCCATTTACAGGGCAAATTGCCTTACAGTGGGCTGTGCCTCAGTGTCTCTTTGAGGGAGTAATGATTAAACACTATTTCAGCCTTGGGATGGTGAATCTCACTTTGAAATCTGCTACCCAAGTACATACATACAGGTCTGTTGAGTGAGAGTGGCTCAGTAGAAGGTTACGCGTGTGGGCATCTCGGCTCTTCTTGAATGGATGTTGTGATTGCTCAATTGTTCTAGGATCCCTGTATCCCGATATGTCCCCCCAGGATCAGAAGAAGGATGATGCCGTTTTCCCAGGAGGGAATTACACCTATACTTGGACTGTCCCTGAAGATCACAGCCCAACTGCTGATGACCCAAACTGCTTGACCTGGATCTACCACTCTCATATTGATGCACCAAGGGACATTGCATCTGGATTGATTGGGCCATTGCTTACATGTAAAAAAGGTAAAAAAACCACGAAAAAGCAGCCGAGGGCTGCAGTTTTGTAGTGTAAAGGTTTTGTGGTGACATGAATAAGGACAGGCTGTGAAAATACTCTGGTGAGTGTCTCCTAACTTCAGGGGAAAATCAGCTTGGTTAGAGAAGACAGTACTTGTGTTCTAGCAGGGTACTGGTCATTGTGTTGTCTTTATCTATTACTGACAGGGCAGGTGAGTTTGCAGGCCTCTTGATCCAAGAATGCAGCTTGAATCCTTGTTAAATGCAGGACTCTTGTCCAAGATGTAGTTTGTGTATTAAAAACATGGTGGCTGATTTCAGCAGGACTGAGAAGACTGAAGGTGTTGCAGCAGAGCCATGCAGTGGCAGAGCCGCTTGGAAGAGAGAACCATATTGGCAGGAATATATTGGAAAAGGGTGAGCTCACTGCTCTGCGGTGAGCTGGGAGGATGGTGGGAAAGCATCTTTCTCCAGTTCATGTGACAAGTGTGTCTCTGCTATTGCTATTTTAATCTCTTGCTTGATGTATGATTTTTCTGCATTCATTCCTCTCTCCTTTTCCCTCAGGAATACTGACAGGCAGCTCTCAAAGACGCCAGGATGTGGATGTTGATTTCTTTCTGATGTTCAGTGTGGTGGATGAGAACCTAAGCTGGTACCTGGATGAGAACATAGCATCATTTTGCAGAAATCCTGGCTCTGTAGACAAAGAAGATGAGGAATTCAAGGAGAGCAACAAAATGCATGGTCAGTGTCAGCTTTGTGAGGCCATTGACTCTGCCAAGACACTCAAGGGTGTCAGTGCTCCGGGATCTGCTCTGAGATCACATGCTGAGCAAATAATGTCACAGGGTGGGGCAGCAACTCCAGAAAAAGGAAGTGTTGTTTTGCTTTAATCTTTGACGAGTGAGCTTTTATACCCTTCGTTTTAGGAATGAGCTGTGGAACTAGGCTCTCCAAAAGAGAAGAGAAGGATGAGTTCTGGTTAGGTGCATCCTCCCATCGTGTCTGTGCTGTGACCTGCTAGTAGGAGCTTTGAAGGCCCCTTTTCTGCTCTCTGATTCTGGCTTGCTTGGTTTTCCAGCTATTAATGGTTATGTGTTTGGCAACCTCCCTGAGCTGACGATGTGTGCTGGGGATGATGTTTCATGGCACCTCTTTGGGATGGGAAATGAAATTGATGTTCATACAGCCTACTTCCATGGAGCAACACTCAATATCCGAGGCCATAGGACAGACGTGGCCAGCCTCTTCCCAGCCACTTTTGTTACAGCAGATATGATCCCCAGTGACACTGGGAGATGGCTGCTGAGCTGCCAGGTCAATGATCACATACAAGGTAAGGCAGAAGGTGGAATATGACCTGGACTCTTTGTCTTCCATTTTTTCTGTCAGTGTGGTCGTGTGATGTACAGTATAGTCGGAGACAGTGCCTTGGGCACGAGAAACAACTCCAGATGAATGGGTGATTCCTTGTCTTGGATAAATTGGAGTGGGTTGATTATTAATGTGAGGGGCAGCCTTAGTGAGGGTGATTTCTACCAGAGTATGATGTTCCACATTAGGTACAGCTGAAAGCTGAGATGAGGCAGACAGTGCCTTAATTGCTCTGCTGCCTATAAGGGGTGCTTGCATGGTAGAGCTGAGGACAGCAGAAGGCTCCAGTCACTTTTTATCTATATACTTCATAGCATCCAATACCTAAGGTTGGAAGCTCTGCTCACTGACAAACTGCTTGCTGTGGGAACTACCTACTTGCCTTCTCCCATCCACGTGCCTTTTGGAACAGCAGAGGGAAGGTGTCCAGTTAGTGGTGGGAAGGTGAGACTGTGTCCATTGCCCACTGGACTGGCTGAGGGGGCTAAGTATGCATGTCCTCCATGTCTTGGACAGCTGGAATGGCAGCACTGTATGAAGTCCGGCCCTGTTCTCGGCAAGCTCTGGCACCCACCCTGGAAGGGAGAGTTCGGAAATACTACATAGCTGCCAAGGAAGTGCAGTGGGACTACGGACCGTCAGGGCGTGATCAGAGCAGTGGGAAGCAGCTGAGTGAGGCAGGCAGGTAAGTGAGATGCTGGTGGGCTTGGGCAGTGTCTGGGGGCTCTGGCCTGTGTCAGGAAGGCTGTTCAGGAAAATGTGGAATTTTTTTCTTTTCATGCCTGCTATTCACATGAAGTACATTTCCTGAAGGCAGATCACCCTGTCTGGAAAGGAAGGCTGCTGTAGGCAGACAGCACTGAGCAGTACGGGTACCTCGGGCCTTCCCGTGGGAGTGCTGTGTGGCAAAGCTGTACCCACAGGCAGCAGGAGTCCTAGCAGATGTACAACATGAGCTGTCATGTTTGTCTCTGGGCTTCATTTTTGCTTGCTGTGCCTGACCTAGGAACAGATCTTTGTATTTAAGGAGTGGTTCAAAAAGCCCCTGATGCAGCTGACACAGGTGGCAGAGCTGGCCTGTGGATGGGCCTTAGGGTGGCCTTGTTGCAGGAAGCAGTTTCTAGAAAATGAAATGCAGGGACCTATTCTGTGACCAAGTGGCCATGATACCAGTTGGTGAGAGGTTTCCCCTTCAGGCTTTGGCTAATTGAAACAGAAATTCCTCTGCCTCCCCTCCCTTCCCTGGGAAGCTGCTGGAGAGGATATACCTCATTCAGATGGAGAAGGAGAAATGCAGAGCAGTTAATTATTTACCCAGTGCCATGCAGCAACTTTGCAGACCTTAGAACTGAAAGCTCTTTAGACCTGTGAACTGACATTGTAACTGTGCTGCCTCTCCTGCAAGGCTTGCTACGTCTGTGTTTGGCGAGGGTGGTGGCAGAGGAAATAAATCTTTTTACAGCTGTTTATTTTAGCTATGATTGTGGCTGTCCCCTGGGCTGTCCATGACCTCTGAAGAGCTTGGTGTTTTTGCACTGCCTTCCCACTGACTCCTTTACACATCTTGTGTAGAGGTGCTGATTACACCTGTGCTACCAAACCTGGCAGGTTCAGCTGGGAGAGAGCTGTCTGCCATAGGTGCTCTCTGAACATGCAAGTGGACAAGTCTGTAGGGGCAAAAAAGCTTTGAAGAGTCGAAACTGTGCTGGTTCCAAACTAAAGGTGCTGTCCTTTTCTGAAATGCTGCTTGATTTGGAGATGTTGCTGGCCTTGCCAGAGGGAGGTGGAGGGAGACCAGGGGAACATGACTGATTTTTTTTTTTTTTTTTTTTTTGCTATGAGATAACCTGACATTTGCTTTTTGCATTTAGCCCTGCTGAGCAGTATTTCAAGCGTAGCCTCTACCGTATTGGGGGTGTCTACTGGAAGGCAAAGTATGTAGAGTACACTGATGAGAGCTTCCGTGAGGAAAAGCAGCAATCAGAAGAAGAGAAACACCTTGGAATACTCGGTGAGAATCAACTAGGAACACAAATCCTCTGTCAGTATTGGTGAGAAGGATGCTGGTACTGGGAGTGCCAGTTAGCTGTACCTGCCCTCTTATTTTGAGGGGCACAGAGGTGCTTCACAACAGTCACATCAGAGCGAGTGGGACAGGCAAAAGTGGGAGGTGATACTTCAGAGCTGATTCTTAAGATATCTGAGAAACACAGTGTAGTATTTGTGACTAAAGCTAAACAGATCACAGCAGTAATTCCTGGTTAACATGTTTTTGACTGAGCCCCTTCAAGGCCTGCTGCAAACCCCATGTTCTCACAGAGACCTCTCCTGAATGGTGCTCCCTGTCACAGCTAAGTGTGCACACAGAGGCAGCCTGGCTCTTCAGCCCCTTCTGTGGCCTTGGGATGCTCTGTGGACCCAGGGCAGGTCAGGGGCTGTTGGGGACAGGCATGGTAAAGATTTGGTGTTCCTTTCTGGCTGGCTGGGGCAGGGGCTCAGACTGTGGTGAGCTTGGAGCATCCCACATCTCTGAGGCACGTGTGTTGGGAGGCTGAGGGAGGTTCGTGTAGTGGGAGAGAGACATGGGCCTTTCCCGAAGGCATTCCCACACATCTGGCTGTTCTGTTACTCCCCCTGTGAAGGCCTGACACCTCTGAGTTCTCTCGCAGACCCAGAGTGCTTTCAGATGATCTTTGGCAGTCCCTGCTCCCTCTGAACTCCCTTCAGCAGCCAGGGCACCCGCCACCTTTCCTCGTTAACCCCTGCAGCCTGGGGGAAGGTGCCCTGGCTGCTTTGTTTGGCCTGGTGGCCTGGGGAGGTGCTCTGTTGATGATCTGTTCTCTCTGCTATTTTCTAGGTCCAGTGATCAAAGCTGAAGTTGGAGACACCATCCTGGTGACGTTTTTTAACAAAGCTTCCTGGCCCTTCAGCATCCAACCACACGGAGTGTCCTATGGAAAGGCGTGGGAAGGGATGTGGTACCATGACGGTTGGTGGTTCCCTTTTCTTGAGTACACCCACTTCACCCTTAAGAGGTGCTGGGTGTTTTGGTGATGTGAACAAAGTAAAGCCTGCTATGAGTGTATCTGGTGAGAAGGTGTAACTGAGGTTTTGCAGGGACCTCAGGAATAATCCTGTAATCCCTGTTTTAAAGGCCTGTCTCAGAATGGGATGTCTGTGGCCCCACTGCACAACTTCACATACCGCTGGACTGTGCCGAGGCACGTGGGGCCCACGTCCAGTGACCCTCCCTGCCTCACCTGGATGTACAGCTCAGCTGTGAACCCTGTCAAAGACCCCAGCTCGGGCTTAGTGGGGCCTCTGCTCATCTGCCAGCCAGGCACTTTGGATGACAACAACAAACAGGTAAAGGGGTTTACCTGCCCTGCTCCTACCAGATTCTTTGCTTTCATGTAGAGAAAGAAAGTGTCAGCAAAACACTATAGAGCATAATGAAAACAAATATGCAATAGTGCAAGTCCAGGAGAGTCAAATCAAAGCCATGAGTCAGGTTAACGCTGGGACAGCTGGTGCCCAGGTCTAGCCTGGGAAAAGCCAGTAGTGTTCTGGGCTTCCAAGGGATGTTTGTTTTCAAGCAGAGCTGACCACAAAAAAGCATATGAAAATCCATGTCAGTCTTTATGCTTTTGATGAAGGAGAGGTGAAATCTGAAGGGCGAACAGAACTTCCTCTTGGAATTTCACTCAGGGATAGTCTATTACAGGAAATCAGTCCAGGGAAGACAGTAAATTGATATCTGGGGGAGGTGTCAGATAGATGGCGAGAGATAGCCTTGTTGTGAAAGAAGCAAGTGGCAGATAAACCAGCACTGCTGTCCTGTGGCACTGGGGAGTGGGGATGAGGACAGCTGCCCCCAGGGCCTCCCTGGGGAAGTTCACATTCAGTGGTGACTAAATTAGGAGTGCAGAAGAGGTCAGCACACTACCCAGGGTGGAATGTGGATCTGCTGGGCAGAGAGATCAGGAATATGCACAGCCCACATGGGCAGGTATTGGAAGAGTGTAAGCAAAACAGGGATGGACCCGTTTGTAAAGGTAGGACAGAGAAAAATCACCTGGCATGGCATTTCTGGCTCCACAATCTTAGGCAACCCTTTAATGAATGCTTAATTGTGGAAGGTGCATGGCCACTCCCCTGCACCTGTGTGCTGCAGTCTGGGAATTGCTCGCCTTCTTGGCAGGCCAGCTGCCTTGGTACTGCTGAGAACAGTGACGCTGGAGCAAGAGTCTGGACATCACCAGGATGTTCTTTTAGTGAGGAAACACACATGTTTTAGAGTGCATTTTGTAGGAGAATTAACACTTGCAAGGATTTAGGGTAATTTAAAAAAGCCCTAATTCCAGCCTGTGGTAGGAGGCAGGAGGAGTGGGGTGTGTTCATCGGCCGGCCTTGTGTCTGGGCTCTGGTCTCAGGCCTGGTTTGCACTGACACCTAAATATATGGGTGAGGGGAGAAGTGGGCAATGACTTCATGCCCTTGGCTGAGTTTTGATCAGTTTATTCATATGAAGTGTCATGAAAAATGCAAAAGTGGTGCTTTTTGTGAAATAAAAGAGGAACATTCAACATGAATAAAGGGACAGAGTCCTGGCCCTCAGTGAGCCAGGTTTAAAGGTAAAGGGGAACACAAGAGCATGGCAAAGCAGATTTAACTCTAAGGGTAGTTAATTTGTGTGTTTTAAAAATTAACAGCCATATTGTAATTATAGAAAGGGATCGACAGAGAATTTTACCTTCTCTTCAGTGTGTTTGATGAGAACCTCAGCTGGTATTTAAATGCCAACATAAAGTACTACTTGAGAATGGAAGAGACATCTGTAAAGAAGGATGATGGCTTCAAGGAATCCAACAGGATGCATGGTATGGTTGGATGCTGCTCTGTGGCATTGCAAGGAATGAACTTGTGAAGCATGGCGTGATGCTCACCTAAAGGCTGAACTGGGGGCTGGAGGGGCTGTGTGGTGTTGGCCTGGAATGAAACCAGCCTGGAGGCAGCAGGTGGGGTGTGCACAAGCAGCACAGCTGCTTGGGGGAGCATGTTCTGAGTGTATTCATGGGTGAATTGCAAATAAACTACCCTACTTTCCCGTGCCAGGCCTGTTCCGTGTATGCACAAAATTAATCTCCTGGCTGATGCCTGCCTTCAGAGAGTTAATTGCTTTCTCCTTTGCAGCCATCAATGGATTTATGTTTGGTAACTTGCCTGGGCTGGATATGTGTGATGGAGACAAAGTGTCCTGGCACCTCCTGGGCTTGGGCAGCGAAGCAGATGTACATGGAGCTGTGTTTCAGGGAAACACCCTGCAGATGAACGGCATGCGGAGAGATTCAGCCAGTCTGTTCCCCCACACATTTGCTACTGCCTTCATGCAGCCAGATAACAGCGGTGAGTGCCTGCACAGCTGCCTGGGCAGATGGAAGAGTCTCCCATTATGGTATTTGCTCCTGTGGCAAATTCTCTAGCACGGTGTGAACTCTTATAGGGTGAGCTGTGCTTCATGTGATTATTGTGTAAGAAAGCTTCCTGAGACAATTTTTGTGTAGAACTTTGTTGTGCCATTTCTTCAATGACTCCTTTTAACCTTGGCCTGTGGCAACCAAGCTGCCCAAACACCACACAGATATACTCAGCACATACTGACACTGGCTGGCAAAGCAGCTGTTTCCTGGAATCTTTAAAATCAACTGATTTCTTTGCTCGTCCTGCCCCCCTCAGGGACCTTTGAGATCTACTGCCAGACGAGCAATCACTACCAGTCTGGAATGAGGGAACAGTATGTTGTTTCCAAGTGTGGAAAGAGGGACCCTGCTCCTTCCCGTCGGTACACTGGAGTGCGGACGTACTACATCGCGGCCGAGGAGGTGGTGTGGGACTACGCGCCCGACCGGAGCTGGGAGAGGGAACGGCACAACCACTCTGCAGAGAGGTAGAGCCCACCTTCTGGGGAAACCTGTAGCAGTATCCCAGTAGACCCTGATGGAGCCTGTTGGGTGTCTTGGCCAACTTGTGACCTGGTGCATGTGCTGGTGGTGCTGCTGATGGTAGCGCAGCTCTCCAAGTCATTGCGCTTTCCATCGCAGCCAAAGCTGGCTCTGGGAAATCCCTTCAGCTTGTGGACCCCCTGCCACAGCTTAGTTGCTTACTCCCTGTGAGGTTTTTTGTATTCAACACTCGTTCTGCATTCCTCAGCTACGCCGACGTGTTTCTGAGCAACGAGAACGGACTGCTCGGCTCCAGGTACAAGAAAGCAGTTTACAGGGAGTACACGGATGGCACTTTCCAGACCCCCAAAGCCAGGATAAATGGTGATGAACACCTAGGGATTTTGGGTAAGGATGTGTGTAGAGGGTACACCTTCTGCTCACACAGCAATGATACTGGGGCTCTAGGGCTGCAGTGGCTCAGGGCAGTAACCTGAGGGCCCACTGAATATTTAGGTGTTTGCTGTGTATGCAAGTGAGGAGAAATGGGGACTTTCCTACCCATGTCTGACAGCTTTGCAGACAAAAGTTAGAAGAGTCCTAAGCACAGCTTGTAGGAAAGCCTGGGCTCTTCTGCCTACCTTTGCACCAGCATTCTGTCGTGGCTCAGGCAAAGCATGTTTTACAACTGCATTTCTCTGACTGGGGAACAGAGTGGAGGAGCAGTGACTAACTGAAGTCTGTGGAGACCCAGTTCTGTTTTTCCTGTGTTACAAACCTGTGCAAGGCTGTAAGTGGTGGCAGGGCAACCAGGCTGAGGCAGCAGCTGCCACTCAAAAGAGGCTGCAAATCAAGCAGTGTCTGACTTGTGACATTGTCAGGCCAAGTTGAATATTACCACATTTTTTGAAATCGACAGCAAGGGATGATCAACATTTTGCGACATTTAGCACAACAGTATTCAGAAATCAAGCCTTAGTTGTGCTGGGCCCAGTTAAGATGTGTAACCACCTTCATTGCCCTCATTGTGAAAGTCAGTCCAGTTTCCTAAGACTTGGATTGGGACTGACATCCAATTCTCTTTTTGGGAAGTAGAGAAGAGGGAGAGGAACGTCATAAATATTATAAGGGAATATCTCTAGGGAGATGTTGAGAGAGAGGTGGGAGTATCCCAGGAGATGTGCTGATGGATTTTGCTGGTCTCAGCGTATGTTCTTCCTGTCTCAAGGTCCTTTTCTGTGGGCAGAAGTGGGCGAGATTCTCAACGTGGTGTTCAAGAACAACGCCTCGCGGCCCTACTCTGTGCACGCACACGGGGTGCTGGAGCGGCACACAGGGCAGCCACAAGTGGCAAACCCCGGTAGGTCCCTGTCTCCAGTTTTCCTCTGTGGGCTGGCGCTGCTGATTTTAGCCCAGAGCTTGACTGGCTTCCTTAAGCAGCCTCAGATGTCCTGATTTTCTTATGATAGAGAACTGGAACTGAACAGTAATTGGTCTTTCAGGTCCAGCATGGTTTTGGTGATACCATTTGTGTGGGAATGACAGCCTTGGGAGCTCACATTTTGCTCTGACTTCTAGGATAAGTGTATGAGAGAGTTCTGTGTGCAGCTTTATTCCCCCACACTGAGTGTGGTCTGTCTGGGGGAAGGGGAAGGTGGTGGCAGGTAACAACTTAGCTAGTCCTTAGTAGCCATGGCATGGTGGAGGCCTGCTTTTCTTTGGCAGATGTATGAGCACAATAGTATGAAATAGGAGAAATGCACAATTGCTTACCAGGATCAGAGTGAAATTGCCACTTTGTTTCATGATAGATGCCAGTGTGTGTAATTTTTGATCCCCTCCAACTTGCCCAGGCTGTACAAGCCACAGCCAGGCTGTCAGCTGGGTCACGTCTTTCTGAAATAGATTGCTAATGTGCAAAAGAGTTATTTTAAAAACCAGTTTGAATAAGCATCATAAATACACTTCGAAAAGAGGAAAGATCACCTCATGCCCCATCTGACTGAAGAGAGGTGGAATTTCCATTCAGATCCAATCTCAAAGGCAGATAAACCTGAGTTGTGCTGGTATCAGACAGTGTGTACATCCTGTGACTCCTCTGCCTTGCTGTGAGAGGGGAGCTTCTGCTCTGCTTTCAGTGTTTGGGGAAGGAAGATGAAATTTCTGAAAAATGGAATAGAATTTGGACTATAGAGGCAGGATTTTCTTTTTCTATCTTGCTTTAAGTGGGTGTGTCACCTGGTGTGATGTGCTGCTCTGTCCCTCAGGTGACATTGTGACATACCGGTGGGAAGTTCCTGAGAGATCTGGTCCAGGGCCAAATGATTCAGCCTGTGTTCCTTGGATCTACTACTCCACGGTTGACACAGTAAAGGTAAAATAGAAGTAAGAGCCAGAAAAACCCAATTAGACCAATTTTTTACCCCATATAGAAAACAATGTGAGTTGGGTACAGTTTAGGGATTGGTCCAGCCAAGAGGTGGAACCACTTGGTGACACATCGAGTGTCCTCCTGGGAGAGGAAATCTTTCAAATTTGTCCTGATGTTTGTTCTTATTTTTTCCTAACAAACCTTCATAAACAAATTCCACTGTCTCCTTGCCACTAACCTTCCTTCAGTTATTTGCAGGATATTAGAACATCTCCCTGTCAGTCATGGTTTCTATTGGTGAGAGCCCTAGGGCTGATCTAGAAAGGCAGAAATTGTCCAGACTGAGGTCTTATGGATAAATCAGGAAGATTTGATTGTTGTTAGAATTGATTGTCACAGTACTGATTTCACAGGAGAAAAAACCTGGAGGATCCTGCAATAAACCATCACATTCAACCCAGAAATAATGGCCTTTTTATCTCAAAATTGCAGATGTTTTTGCAGTCACAGAGCAGAGAATATCTTGATACCATTCATATTTATGACTTTCAGATTTACATTTGTAAGAGCATCTATGGTTCCTTTGCTTTGGTGGCTGATGCTCTCCAACAAGGCTACTTGCACGGCAGCACCAGGTTTTTTTAAGTGGGGTGATGCAGGAACAGAAAATGATTGTTGAAAGGCAAAGAACTGTGTACAAAAGAGGGTGAGAAGGTCCTTGCCTCAGAGATTTCTCTTTCCTTCTGATTAGGATATGTACAGTGGGCTGATCGGGCCGCTGAAGGTCTGCCGGAGAGGGGCCCTGCGGTCTGATGGGACCAGGAAGGACGTAAAGAGGGAGTTTGCTCTGCTGTTCCTGGTTTTTGATGAAAATCAGTCCTGGTACTTGGAGGAGAATGTGAAACATTACAGTAAGGGAAATCATGAGGAGATCAGCCTGATGGATGAGAAATTTGTGGAAAGCAACAAAATGCACGGTAATGCCAGTCGGTGTTAACTCTGTAACCTCTCTAAGTAGTCAGGCCACCCCAAAACCTAGGAGCCTGACTCTTGGTGAATGCCCTTATCCTTTTCCCTCATCAGTGGCACAAACAGAATTAAACTGTCTATTCTCAATATAACAGCACAGCTACAGCCCAAATCTTTGATCTGCAGTGAGGGCTGATGATTGTGGCTCTATCAGGAGGAATACAACATCCAGGACAGAGAGGTTAATCTCTGATGTGTCTGACTCAGGAAAGGAAATAAAGTCAAACATGAAATTAACTTGTCAGACTAATTTAATTCTGTTTTCTCAGGGACCATCAGAATGTTAGATTTCAAATTAATTTTCTGAGCTGTGTGGCTGCAATACGTGGCTCAGTTGTGTTAGCTAATTATCAAAAAGCTATTTCTACCGTGGCAGGATGAACATATTTTTCTAAATTAGCATGTTATTTACCTTAGTTAGGGGGTTTTTCCATATTGTATCTGGATCTGTCTAAAATATTCTCAGCAAAACAGGCCCTTTAGCAACTGCAGAGATAAGAATAATGAGGAGTTACATTATGTGTGCTGGCGTTACTACTGGTTTTGTATGGCTGAGATAAATACTCTCCAAATACATGAAGGTGTAATTGTTAACCCAGTACTACAGCTAGCAGAACCAGTAGGCTGAAGTTGGATGCTTGTTTGAGGCTACACAAAGTGTCTGTGGGAGATCTGGGAGTAAAACCCTGGTGCTCTGTCCTTAGTTCCCGTCTCTTTCCATCTTATTCCCTCTGTTGTCATCTGGGCATGAAAATGAAAGTCTGTGTGTGCCATGGCAGTCAGCTAACTCACTGTTTGGATCCCTTTCCTGCATGCGCAGTCACAGCGGGATTCCTTCCAGCTGTGCTACTTGAGAGATAAAGTCCTGCCATGCAGGGATTTTACAAGTGGTTGGAATGTGACGTGTGGCCAGGCTGAGGCACAGCACCACAGGGCTGCCCGCTGGCAGGACTTACCCCTTGTTGTTGTTCACCAAGGAAAGTGCTCAGACATTTATGTGTATGTAGGTATATACATGTTTTTCCATCACTGGGCTAAGGAGGCCGTTTTTATGCATCTTGACTTCTAGAGGAAACCATCTGCTGGCTGACTGCAGGTTTACAGAAAGAGGTAGTTTTTGAGATTTATTTGAGCTGAGCTACAGCATGGCCTTGGGTGTGAGTCACTTTTCCTGGCTGTAAGCAGAGTGGAGAAGTAGCTGATCTGGGGAGAGACTGCCAAACTGTTGGGGGACTGTCATGTGGGGGAAACTAACTGCTGATGCACTGGTTGCTTTATGAGCTCTGTGGCCTGTAACTTGCCCTGCATGTTCTTCCTCTGAGGTGGTGCAGCACCTTTACCATTTCACTAACAGCCTTTTCCCCTCTATTATTTACTGCACAGCAATCAATGGCAGGCTTTATGCCAACTTGCCTGGGCTGACCATGTACCAGGGAGAGTGGGTGAACTGGTACCTGCTGGGGATGGGTCAGGAGATTGATGTCCACACAGTCCATTTTCATGCTGAGACCTTCATATACAAGGTAAGAGTATCTGCTGACGGTAAAGCTGATATCAGCACTTTTGCTTGACTCTGGACTTGAATTTTTTTTTAAGGACTCCACAGCAGTTTCACCCTGATAGGAAAGGGATGTGGTTTTACACATCTCAGTCTGACTCCCTGAACCTCTGCGATGTGCTGAGATGCCCAGCTTAATCCTTGCTAGGATTAGGCATTACCAGATTGTGTTCACTTCCCCTCGAGCTGCCCTCGAGCTGCCCTCGAGCTGCTTTTCGAAAGCTTTTTTTTTTTTTTTTTTGAGCTTTAAAAAGGTGAGGTGGTATTTAGTGACACTGGCAGAGTTTTCCTCCTGAGAAGATGCAGAGAGCAGTGCAGCTAATGGCCTCTCTTCTCTGACAGAATGGCAAAAGCTATAGAGCAGATGTTGTAGATCTGTTCCCTGGGACCTTTGAAACGGTGGAGATGCTGGTTGGGAACCCTGGGACATGGCTGCTTCACTGTCATGTGTCTGACCATATCCATGCCGGGATGGAGATCCTCTTCACCGTCCTGCCTAGAGCAGGTAGGGAGCTTTCACTGTAACTGTAAAACATGCAGCAGCGCTTTCTGCTACCGCTGCAAAATTCTGCCTGTTTGCATCACACGTACAATGCCCTTACATGTACCATAAGCAGCCAGGTAATGGAGCAGTTCATTACCTAAGTACAGTTAATTTAAGATATTCCCTTTGGATATGTTAATACCTGGAGCTGGAGTTAATAACAAATTGTTTTCTGGATTTTACATTGCCTATGTTGTTATTGTGACTTTGATTTTAGCTTGTATCAGAGATGCAATGTTCAGCCCTCAGCCAATAATTGTTCTAAGAGCTGGAAGGTGCTCAGAGGTGAGTGATACTCAGTACTGGGTTTGACTGTGATGGAGTCCACACGGTGATGCGATCTTAGATTTGTTACCAATCAAAAGAGCTGTGAAGGCCCCAGTGGTTTGGCTGTGGGTGACCAGTGCCTGGCCAGTGTCAGGGCCATCTCTGTTTCTTCCTCAGCACTTTTCTTTCAAAAGTGGGGAAGGGTTGTGTTGTGGAACGGGGGCTGCCTCTGAAGCAGGCAATACAAAAATGTTCTTGTCTTATGTGGAGAGGGAAAACACTGACAGGAGAAATGAAAACTTGCAAGCCCTGGAAACCATGCTGCCTCTGAATCCAGTCCTCACCAGATGTGCCCTGTTCTGAACTCTGCCTGCTCAGCCCAACACCTTCTCACCTTCCTTTTGTTTCCTTTCAGAGTCAGAGCTGGAAGTTGTGAGCGTTACTGCAGGTATGGTGTGGACAGCACTGCCAAACCCTGTCTGTGTAAGGGGGAGAGGGCAGATCCCTGAGCAGCACAGAGCTTTGTATCATACAAGGAGGGGCAGGAGCACACACAGCACCCACAGCCTCTCCTCTGCCAACCTGGCAGCACCTCAGCCCAAGGCCTGGCTGTGATGGATAGCGGGGAGAGCTCCAGACTGCTTTGTTTATCTGCCTGCCAAGTGTCTGTGCCCTGGGATAGAATTAAGGAAGTTGGGCTGGTTAGGCTTGTTTGTGTTAGGTGGAAAAGTTTGGAGACCTTGCACCCTGTTGTTCCTGCTATGTATGGATTCAGCTTCAGAGGAGAGTGTGAGCTTAGGAACTGGCAGAGACTCAGAGGGTGCTGAAGGAGGGTGCCCAAGATGAGTTGTCCACCTGTCTTGGACTGTCAATGACTCTGTGGTTTAGGAAAGTTTCACCATCACCACTACAAGCTGAAGGGATGGACTCAGCATGAAACAAGCACATTTGCCTTCAGCTCTGATATTCCCCTAAGAAAAGAGCCCAAGCTGTGCCCGGGGTTTTTTGGGTGTTGTAAAGGACAGATGTGAGAAGACATTTGATTGAGCAGCACCAGCAGAAGATACAATCCCTTTGAAATTTTCTGTGGTAAAAGTCTGAGTAGTTTAGGGTGGTGGTTTATTTTCCTGATTTTTCATCTTTTTTCCAAACTCGTTGATAATACCTTATTGTTTGTCTCTCAGGGTTGCCATGTGAGGATGAGTTCCAGAAGATTATGCTTTTTGGATCTAAGGTGGCCCAAGGGCAGATAGAGGCCACAGTCATCGCTCTGGCTGTTGTGGGGGTCCTGCTGCTCCTGGTCGCCGGCATCCTCCTGGGAACAGTCATCCATCTGGAGAGGCAAAAGAGGCTACGACGCAATCGGAGATCCATCCTGGATGACGGATTCAAACTCATGTCTCAAAAGAATTCCGGGCTCTAAAAGCCATGTACAAACATTGGGCTGTGTGATTGGAGCAGGGGCTGGATCCTTGTCCACAGAAAAGATTTTGGGGCATCATTTCAATTGTGTACTGTACTTCTAGAAGCTGAGGAGGGGAAGCTGGAACCCTGACTTCTTCATATATCCTTCTCAGCCCTCTGTAAAGAAAACGTCTGTCTGTGAGAGACCCAAGAGATTTGAACTGACTGAAGACAAGTAACGAGTGAAAAAGGTCCTTCTTAAATGCTCCTCTTCCCCTGAGAAAGAAGGGAGACATTTTCTTCTCTCCAGAACAACTCCACTTGGTTTTTCCTTGCAGACTAGCTCAGGCCCCATTCCAGTCTTGCTCCATTGCCAGAACTGAGTTGGGAATTATCTCCCAAAAAACTGTGAGCCATTAAAGTAATTATTGTCAAGCGGGGGGGGGGGATAATATTTTCAGTTTTGTGAATCAATTAAGAATACAGAAGAGAAATTGTTAATTTAGAGTTGGATTGCTGTTTTTTGATGAGCAGGTGGGCCAACACAAATTCAGGGTAGTGCATGTCACAGTGAGTGCCCCATCAAGGACCATGACAAGAGCTGTGCCTCACTCTCAGCCTTGCTCTGACATGTCCTTCAGCCTCCCTGCAAGCCTCGGGCTGCCTTTGGATCGGGGTCAGGCACCTCCTACTCCCTGTTCCCTCTGCCACAGCTGCCTGCCAGGGGCCAGGGTGGGTGGTGGGACTAACCTCTGTGGCCCACCCCGTGGGCTGTGGTAGTCATTCTCCAGTGGCAGCCATGCCCACATACGTCACTGTCACCTCAGCCTGTGGGCCAGGTACCAAGCAGTTCCCTATGAAATATCTGTCTTTGGCTCACCCCCAGGAATTCCCGTTATCAAAATGGATGCAGGTTAGTGCTTACATATTTCTGTGCCTGGTTTTAAAGTGGAAAGAGCATAAAAAATCTATTCTGAGTGGCTTTCACGGGCAATTAAAGCAGCTAAATGGCTGTAATGAGAAGGGACTGCTGGTGGCTCTTCAGGTATAACAGCACCGTTTTCTTCAGAACAATAGTTATCACATATTTAATCATGTTCAATTCATATTGGGTCCCTGCGTATTTCCAGCTGCCTTTTCCTTTGGCAGTGAGAACAAAGCTCATTAATTTCCTTTCATTACACTTCATTAAGCCTGGTGAGGGGCTGGATGGCTGTTGAGCATTCATATTCAGAGCATTCTTTGCTCAGATTCAGGCCTGGTTTAGCTGCTGCTGCAAAACAGAGCCCATCAGTCCATGGGGAATTTAGAAGCTATGGCATCAGAAATAAGAACCAAGAAGGAAGCCTTTTAATTTTTTCACCATGAGCTTGTTAAAAAATAGATCAAAAAGGTTTGGAGCCTGCACTGAGACAGAAGAGTGAGTGTAAATGTATTCCCTTGCTTCAGGGCAGCAGAATGGGGGAGTTGCCCTTCCTGCATCCCGTGCCCAGCCTGGGGTTTGGGTGCTGTCTCCAGGCAGGGTGGTGGCACAGGGCCAGGAGCTGCTGCTGCTGAGGGCCACTCAGGCTGCACATGGGACATGTGTGAGTCACTGACTATTCTGGGATGTGAGAACAGCAGGACTGGACATGTGATTATCATACAGCTATCATGAAATTAGCATTCATGGTGTTAAAGTCTCCTCTGGAAATCAATTTGTTTGTTAATTTGCTCCTATTTTGGGGAAAGTAAATCTGTTGCTTGGCAGGTGCTTTATAAATCTGATATCCTTTGGTGTTCTTGAGAGACAGGCCTGATTCTACTTCTTTTAACTGTGGGAAGGATGGGTGAGATGAAACAGTCACCTATCCTTGAAGACCCCCAGGGAAAGAATAAGGGAGGAGTTCAGTCTGTTGGGAGCAAAAGAGAGCAGGTCTAGTCAAAGATCCTGCTGCGTAAGGGACAGAGCAGTGTGTGCCATGTGGTAGTCTCTGGAGAGAGGAATTCTCTCTTATTCATTGTCATCAAGTATAACAAAGAAATTATGTCTCTTTGTACAGAAGGATGTTGATACGGGAAGTTTTGCAGTCTGTCACTATAAGGAGCTGACAGAGAACCCTGCTTGTAGGGCCTTTCTCTCTGATCCTTATTTTTCATATTTAGGTATTATTTTCTTCAAATGAAAGCTTTCCCTTTAGAAGCAATCAAAGAGCAGCCATCTTCTTTGGGTCAGGCTGATGTGCTTTGTGAGAAGCAAACAAGCAGAAAGCAAAGCTGAGGAGGGCAGTGAGCCTGGTGTGTCCCTCCTGCTGCTGGAGGCTGCCCTGGAACAGCAGTGGCCCTGCGTGGGAAGGAGGTCAGGTCACTGGTGAGAAAGTTCTACTTCCCTTGTCATTGCCAAATACAGAAAGGTCCTCAGCCAAACATAACACGTGGGAGAGGCCACCAGTGTGGGCCCTCTTGTAGGTTCAGTCTCCAGTTTTGGTGTTTCCCCCCAGTCCTCTCGCAGATCTCTGGGTCGTGGTGGCTGGGAGGCAGTGTGGTGAGTGATGTACAGCCAGATTTCAGTGGGCTTATCAAAACTGAGCCTCTCGAACGAGGCTGAGCATGAGGATTGTGATTAGTCCAATTTACAGACTCTCAGTTTGTTAAACAACAAAAAACCCCGAAGTGTGAGAGCATCTGAATGTTGCATTTGACATTGTGATGTCAAACCTCTATGAAGACAGAAGTAATTTGTTCTGTTTGTGCTGAGCGAGCTCCTTGCTGGCTCCTGGGTGTGTGTCACGGTGAGATTGGCTGTGGCAAACGTGATCAGCTGAGTGTGGAGCACAGCGTGGAGAGGCAGAATGTGAGAACTGACTGAGGGAAAGTCTGAGGGGCTGTGGAAGGAAGCAAGCTTCCAAAGGAGCCCTAGTCAGGAATGAGAATTGCAGTTTGTGTGCGTGGCTTCTGCCCTGGCAGCATCAACCTCTTCTTTTAATTTGGGGTTTGAGGCTGATTGTCCCAGCCCAGTGCTGTGGATTTCAGGCCCGGGTTACCCCTCCCAGTCCTTGCCAATACACTGTCAGCACGTCTGGGTTTGCACTGATGCTCCTCACCATCACCTAAGGCGTGTTTTCATTGCTGTCAGAGCACTTAGCACAGACGTCAGCACACCTTCCACGCCCCGTGTGTCAGCTCTGGGAATGTGGCGGCACAGAAAACGGGGAGAAGTCATATTGTCCAAGATGCTGATTAGTAACAGATGGAGCAAGAGATTTCAGGGTTGCTTTTGCCTTCACTTGGCCTGCTTTTCTGTGGCAAAAACAACAAACAAAAAATCCAAACCAAATGGTTATACAGAAATAGTTTCTTTGATTTTTGTTTTACAAACTGGCATATCGTTTCAGTGCTCTTGAAAATTTGTCCAGCTGCTTATACTTACTAGTGCTAAGCTCTCCAGCAGCTCACCATGGGCTCGAGAGGTCCCTGCCCAGCACAGGTCAAGGCAGCACCATGGATTAGGGGAGAGAAAGGCATCCTTTGTGCAGGGCTGCTTGTTTTGCTTCAAGTTGACTCACACAAATGTTCCAATGACTCAAAAAGAGCTGATATTTGGTTATGGAGACATTCTGTGCTAGGTCTGAGGTTTAACAATTTAGGTGCTGTTGTTGATAATAAAACCTTTGCACTAATAGCCACTTCCACTCACGGCTCTCAAGGTTTTTGAGCATTAGCCTGTTAAGTTGGCTGCTGAAGGGGTTTGTAAAACTGCCAAGCACAAAACCCTCTGCCCAGTCTGGGAGAAGTTTGGATGTAATCCAGAGCCCCTTTGCATCAGATTGACTATTAAATTAAAATTTTGCAATACCTTCTGGAGGTGGGATTTATGTGCAAATCAGGTACACCCCGGTGTCCAGCTGCATAAAACCTCTTTTGGCCAGTGTTATAGGTGCTGTTGTTTTGAGGGTATGAAAGGAGACAGCCTGTTCCCAAACAGATTATTATTTTTGATCTTTCACGGGGCTAACTTGTGGAAAATTTTCAGAAAACACCAAACCTAAGAATGCCATTAATTTTAGAGGGATCAGGACTAGAGCTAAAGACACGAATAGCAGTGTTCATCTCTAAGCTGCTTTTGTAAAATTAGGTGCATTTCTCTGTGTTTTGGCTCAGTCCTTGGTCAGCACCTTTGGAAGTGCTGGGATATTGTTTAGACTTGGGCTTCCAAATAGCTTTCAGCCCAGCTGAGCTGGAGGAAAGCAGTACAAGACAGCAAGTACCTGAATCGCCTTCCCCCAGGGGATCCTCCTGCTCCCAGACACCATGTCCTGGGTGCCCACATCAGCGGGGTGGGGAGAGTGATGCTCTCCCCCCACACACATCCCCTGGAGAAGCAGGGCAGGGCTGCTCCAGGTAGAGCCTTGTTCTTCCTAAAGCCAGCCGGCTGTGCCAGGGCTGCCCCTTCTGCTGGCAGCCCTGTAATCACAGCTGTTACTGCTCTCAACATTGCAGAGAGTTCCAGGTGCTCATTTTACAGAGAGGAATACTTAATTGGCAATTTCATGAAAGAAGCCTTGCTTGATAGCAAGCAGCTCCTCGAGTGCCCTGGCTGCAGGAAACCCTTTCAGAACAAATCCCGTGATTCCTGTTTGTTTGGAAGAAAATTCTTCTATTTTCCATGAGCATGGAGAGACTTGGAGCCTGTGAGCATCCCCGGAATGTGAGCAGCCTGTGGCTGTGGCCAGCTCTGCCCTTGTTTCTCCCGTGTTCCCCAGGGTACCGACTCTGGAGTGCAGTCAAACAAATAACTGAAAAGTGAATGGGGAGAAACATTTCTAACTTAGATTATTTGACTACCCAGATTGCATCTTGCCCCCATTGATTTCTGGACAGCTGCAATTACAGCTGTGATCTGTTAATGACCAGAGGAGACATAAGCCCTCAGAGAAGCTGTCTGTGTGTGGTTAATGCCTGAGTCTGTCCAGCCTGAGGAGAAGGTCCTTAATTTAAGAAACCAGAAGCAGAAAAGAAAAAAATGTAGGAATTTGTAGTCTGTGCTGGAAACCTCTCACGTAGGAAACCTCCCACAGAATTTTGTATTTCTTTTCAAATTTTGACTGTTAGAAAAGAGATAAGTCTCAAACTTTATTTCTTTCTCTTCTGCAGTTCTTTCAAGCATTTTTTCTAAGCTGAGAGCCTTATAAATTCCCAGACACAATTGTAGTCTTTGGAGGAAACTAGTTATGATGATGGCTGCAGTCCTGGTGTTTCTTCATTGAGATTCATCACTATTAAAGAAATTGAAGACATTACCTTAAAAGAATGTGTTCTGGAGGCATGTGAGGTCTCATCAGGCTGCGTCATCAAGCAAAGCCTTTAGGATTAGAAGTTTGACTCAGGCAGTTTTTTCTTTCTGGATCACATGCTTGCCTGCACCAAGGCACTCCTGTTCTCGGTGATTCAGTCCTTTGGAATGGCTTTATCTGTCTCTTAGAACATTTTTCCCTTTATTGTTACAGTTGTTGCTTCCAGGATAGCGAATTGTTCAGCACTTACTAATGGGTCTGGCTGAATTGTGTTCCTTCAGTTTAACAGGGAACATGACACAGGGATATTTTTCTTGTCCCTTGCTTATTTTAGCTGGGTGAGGTACAAGGGAGCCTCTTTGGGGGTTTTGACATTTCCACCCCTTTCCCCCCACTCATTCTTGTTGATCATGTTGCAGAGAAATAAAGAAACATAAAGGCTCCCTCATTATCCTTTCACTGCCAAGTAACTTTTCTGGAATACTTGTGCTCTGGGGAGAAAACCCAGTAATTTGGGTTTTCTTCTCTCTGCTGGGGAGAAGACCAAATCATCCAAGAATGTGAATATGGCATCTGGCATCTAAAGGAAACAGTAAATGTAAATGTTTTTTTCTCTTGCAAACCAGGAATTGTAATGAGTGCAGCTGGGGCTGTGGCAATGCTGTAAGGAGAGAAAACAAAGCAGTGGCTAATTCTGCTTTTCCTGGGGCAGTTGGATAAAGGGCAGTTGAAAAGACTGAATGCAAGAAATGTTTTTCATACTAGGAATGCAAACTAATACAAGCTGGAATAGTCATCAGTGTTTCCAAAACTTAGCCCCTGAAACACTGAAACATTTGAAGAAATGAAAAATTAAAAACAAAATCCCAGAAGAGGCACTGAAAGAGACTGAATAAAGGCAAAAGAACCCCAGTGGCAGATGCCTGGGCTGGCAGGGCTGGGGAGGGCACTGTGGAATAGGTGAGGGGTGATCTCTTGGGGTGAGCTGCTCCCAGAGCTGACCTCCCCACACCTGAGACAAGGCCAGTTTCTGCTTCTCACCATCAATCTACCACCACTCTCTTCCCTGAAGGACATTCCCTCTGCACAGGGCCGTGTCACTCAGAGGCACTTGCCTCCTCCACCTCTGTACCAAGACCCCAAACTCAGTAACTGAAGTCTGGGTTGAGAGACTGAAACTGGAAATGTTGTTATTTTAAAGAAATATTTGCCTCTGAAGGAAAGAAAGCTATTTTTTAAAAATTATATTTTTAATTGAATGGGGTAAAATTGATTGTCCATAGCTAAAACATCAGATTGTTTTTGATTATGTTTATGTCCTGGTTTTCATTCAGATTTTCAGTGAAAAACCAGCATTTTTAGAACACAAATGCAATGTACGGAACCCACCTATTCTCCAATCGCTCTGTGAAAAAGAAAGCTGTTGTTCACAGCCAGGTTTCATAACTCTGTTCAGGGCTGATGGCAAATCTCTCTTCAGTAGTGTTTCCTTTCAAATCATATTTTATCTTCTGTATCGCTCCTTCAAGGACCAGTGCTCATGATTCCTGTTTGAACATTTGTAGCTGCTAGTAAAGGCCGACTGGGGGTTTTTTGGCTGTTTTTCAAAAACTTCAAAGCAGTTTTTAGTCTACTCCATCCTCCCACAGCAGTTCCCTTCACACTAAGGAAAAAAGACATGACAGAAGCTTCCACAGCAACTCCCCTCCCTCTACCAGTGTGACCTGGCTGCTGAGCAGCCTATCTGGCTTTTCCTCCTGGTGTTGAATCATCTGGGAAACAAAAAACCCCCAACGCGTTGCCTGAAGCTGGCAGTGCTTGTATCCATCTGATGAACCATGGCTGGCAGCTGCCATCGCACCCCCTCTGTACATCCTGTCTCTGCCGTATCCATTGAGCCTCCTTTGCCAAGAGCCAATCTTCTGGCTTAGCACATGTCAAGTTCCATGTCCTGAACTGATAGAGAGTCCCTTGGTTTTACTTTACAGCCATTTGCAGTCCGAGGGAGTAACGTGAAATTTTAGAACGTAACTTTGTCCTTTCTCGCTGTTGGGAAGGATGTGTCTCTACCTGCCTCGAGCACTTTGCTGTGAGTGACCTGTGTGTGCTAAGCTGCTCTCCACTGTGTGTCTGGCACATGGAATTACAAATGATTGCAGGTCCATTAGAGAAGTCACAGAAAACCTGTCAGGTACCTTGTACTGAGCTTCATAAAGGCAATGGCCTGACCCTTCCTCTGGCTCCGGGGAGTTCTCCCTTGCCAGATGAGGGATGCTCAGCTAACCCAGGCTGCTGTCTAGGAGAGGACATGACCCATAACAATACAGCATTTAGATCCAAGGTCATGCAGCTTCTCCCCCATGTTCCAGTTCACTGTGAATAATTTATGTCAGGCTTCACTGCAGAAAGGCTGGTCCATCGTAATCAGTCATTTCCAGCTCCTAACTCAACCATCAGCGTCCTTGTATCCCACGTGTCCTCCATTGTCTGTCCCTTCCCTCTGTCTGTAGCTTGAGAATCCAATTACACTGCTTTCAGGAAAGCTCTGAGAATAAAAGCTCAAATACTCTTTCAAGGGGATGTAATTCAGTATCTGGCAGAGACAGTCTGTGCCCAGCACCTTCCTCCCACATTTTTTCCCACAAAGAGGGATTTTATCTCTGTGAAAAAAACAAAAGCCATTGAGACTGGTAAATTTACCACATCGAGAGTGGTAAATTTTATGACTTTGCCTAAAAGTCTGCCCTCAGTAGATGAAAACCTTTTGTAAAAGCTGGGTTATATCTGCAATGGCTCTCACATATTGTGAGAGGAAGCGCATGGTTGGTAATGTGAGTGGGAGGGAAGAACGTGCAGGTGACCCTCGTGCTGCTGTGGGCTGAATGGACCTCTCCCTCCACGGGAGCCAAACCTTGGCACACCTGCACAAAAAGGCATCACTTACAGTTGTGGTTTTGATTGTAGCACCTGTTTGAATTACAGAACTGCTTTATTTAATGCATGACTGGGGTATTCACTCCATTATTACCAAATGGGTTTTATTTATTAAGTCTTATTATGAAGTCCATGAAATGTCTTGCAAAATGCCTGTGCCTATTCATCCCACCTTTTCTGAGTCACAAAAGCAGGACTAGACATTGCAAATGAAGAGGAATAGTGTCCTCAGTGCAGTCAAGCAAATATGAAAAGAGAGTTTTAGGATCATGGTTTCTGAGTATTGTTCAAACTCTTATTTCTAACACACTATTTGAGTAAAATAAAATCCCAGTACATCCGGGATTGCCCCATCCCAGGGGCAGAATCTGGCCCTTGTTAAACTTCCTATGGTTGGTGATTCCCAGCCCTCTGATCTATCCGGGTCTCTCTGCAGGGCCTCCCTGCCCTCAAGGGAGTCAACAGCTCCTCTGAGTTTTGTGTCATCTGCAGACATCTCAGTGTCCTTTCCAGTCTGTGTCCGAATCATTGATGGAGATGTTAGAGAGTACAGGGCCCAAGATGGAGCCCTGTGGATCCCCACTAGTGACAGCTTACAGTCTGATGTCACCCCGGTCAGTGTCACCCTCTGTGCCCTAC